TCCGCCGAGCCTGGGGCTGCCCACGAGATGAAGTCGCCAGTAGGGGGTGCTTGGGGGGTGCCCACGGTGGCAGACACTGGGAGGACAGGAGGAAGAGGGACGGCAGCCCAGGGGCACGGCCCCTGGACCAGGGGCTGGACAGGGCCTGGTGTCAGGGCTGGCCGTGCTGGTGAGCGAAGGAGCAGCCTTGGAGAAAGCAGGGCTCTGATCCTGCCTCTGCTGTGCCCTCGCTGTGCGACCTTGGGCAAGGCTCAACCTCTCAGAGCCTCTTCCGTCTGTCAGATGGGGCCGGGTGCCCCTCTTTCCTTCACTTCCTAACGATCAGTCCTCATCTAGTCCCCGATTCTTGGCAGACGCTGCTTATGAGCGCTCTGGATGCATCTAAGTCTCACTGCGCTGCGGGGTGAGCGCCATCCTCACCCCCATTTTGGGGATGGCTGAGGCCAGCGACAGAGCCAGCCTGTCAGTCCAGGAGGCTGCTGTCACAGCCCACGCCTTCGTGTTTTGTGCATTTATTTTTATTGTTTAAGATTTCATTTTTAATTGACAAATAGTTACATCTAGTTATGGAGTAAAATGTGGTGCTTTGATACATGTATACATATGGCACGATTAAATCGAGGTAATTAACATATCTATCACCTCATCATTTTCTTATAGTCACACTAGCAGTAAACCTCAAAAATGTGTTCTTCCTGTCTCACCAAAACTTTGTACCCTTTGACCAGCGTCTCCTACTGTCATCCCCACGGCCCCTGCAAATCACCCTTCTCCTCTTTACTTCTCTAAGTATTTTAGATTCCGCATGTACATGGGGCCCTGCAGTATCTGCCTCTGCATGGCTTATTTCACTTGGCATAATAAGAATCCTCCAGGTCCAGCGCATCCTAATGCAGGTGACCAGATCTCCCTTTTAAGGGCTGAATAGTCTTCCATTATACGCACCTGTAGTAGACACACCATATTCCATATCTTGTATCGGGAGTCATACCACAATGAACATGGATGTTCTTATATGTATTATAAATATATCTTATATATATAAATGTATATTTTATATACAGTATACATTACATGTACGTACATATATCCAGTTGTGGGATCGCTGTATCATGTAATTGTTCTATTGGTTTAGTTTTTTTGAGGGACCCCCCCCATACTGTTTTCTATAATGGCTGCACTAATTTACACAGCCACCAAAGTGCCCCTTTTCTCCACATCCTTTCTGTTTTGTTTTGTTTTGCTTTTTTGAGACAGGGTCTCACTATGTAGTTGAGACTGCCCTGGAACTCACTATGTAGCCCAGGCTGGTCTGGAACTCACAGCGATCCTCCTGCCTCAGCCTCTGCATCCTTTTTGATAGCAGCCATCCTGAGAGGTGTGAAGTGACATCTTGTGGTCTTACTTTTTATTTCCCCGATGATCGGTGCTGTCAAACATTATTTTATATGTGCCTGTTGGCCCTTCTGGTCTTTTGAGCAATATCAGTTCAGCTCCTTTGCTCACATTTTCATTTGGATTGTTTTCTTGCTCCTGAGTTGGGTTTCTGCTTGCTGGTTACTTTATGCTGCCTCTCAGCGATATTACCTCACTCACCAACTAAATGAAGGACAAGCGCTACTGTATGTCTACTTGACACTAAAGGAAACAGAGGCACAGGGAGGTGTAATAGCTTCCCTTGAGTCATAGCTGAATGGGGTGAGCCTGGATCTGAACCCAGGCCAGAGGCTCCTGCTCACACCTGTGCCCCCAGCGTCATGCCAGGGAGGCCACGGGACAGGGTATGCTGAGGGGTGCAGGGCCACGCGCCCTGCTGAGGTCCCTCCTCTTCTCACTCCACAGCCCAGCACACGCAGCTCCCCACACAGCCCCTGGAGTGCAGCCAGCAGCTGGACCAGCAGGCGCTCCAGCCGCAACAGCCTGGGCCGAGCCCCCAGCCTGAAGCGCCGGAGCCCCAGCGGGGAGCGGAGGTCTCTGCTTTCTGGAGAGGGCCGGGAAAGCCAGGATGAGGAGAGCTCAGAGGAGGAGCGGGCCAGCCCCGCAGGCAGTGACTGTTGTCCCAGGCGCTCCCTGGAGCGGGAGGCCAAGAGCTCCTTTGACCTGCCAGACACGCTGCAGGTGCCGGGCCTCCACCGGAGCTCCGCCTCGGAGCACCAGGACTGCAATGGCAAGTCGGCTTCCGGGCGCCTGGCCCGTGCCCCTCGGCCTGATGATCCCCCACTGGACGGCGAGGATGGCGATGATGAGGGCAACCTGGTGAGGCCCACGTGGGCACAGTGACCCCCTCTGACTTCGAGAAAGGGCAGCGGTGCCCAGCCCAGCAGCAGAGTATGAGGGAGTTATGGTTCTAAACCCAGGGAAGTCCAAGCAGCTACTCCCCCCGCACTGCCCTGCTGAGCCAGGTCCTTATCATGCCTGGGGCTGCGGCACTGCCGTCCTTGGTGGCTATGAATGGTTTCAGGCAGATGTGTATGAATCTTTCATGGCCCTGTGACTCAGAAAGACCCATCACTCATCTCTCCAAACTGATGTCCCTCCCGTCCCCCCTTCTCTTCTGGACCTTGTCACAAGCCTTGACTTCCAGCCTGTCCTAACCTGTCCTCCCTCCCCCAGCCCCTCACCACCCCCTCTGCCCTGGGGATGGGCACGGGGACCCGGGATTCGGGGTTAGCACGTGAGGAGAGGGCCCAGTGTCTCCTCTGCCCAGGTGTGTCTGTGATGAGTACGATCTGATCGTTGAGGTGGCTCCCAAGCTCAGCGGGAGGACCTGTGGGAGCTGGGCTGGAGCACGGTGGGAGGAGCGGGGAGCCCCGGCAGGGGGTGCAGGGGATGAGGGAGGCCAACGGGGTGCTGCAGGGTAGGGGACGCTGCACGGCTTGGAGGGAGGCAGGTTTGGGACTAAAGGAAGAGAAAAGGTTCTGCAGGCGCTGCTGGGCCGGGCCAGGGTCCCGAAGCCCAGTCCAGCTCACGCCCTAGTGTTTCTTCTGCAGAGCAAAGGGGAACGAATCCGGGCCTGGATCCGCGCCCTGCTGCCTGCCTGCTGCCGTGAGCGGGACTCCTGGTCAGCCTACATCTTCCCTCCCCAGTCAAGGTAGCAGGGAAGGGACCCTGGCCTGTGCCCCCGTGGTGCTACCCAGGGATGCTGGAAGTGGGGTGTGAGTGGGCCTCGGGCTGGGAGGGTCCTGCGGGACTGCAGGCGACCCACCCCCCTCTGACCCGGAGCAGGTTCCGCCTTCTGTGTCACCGGATCATCACCCACAAGATGTTTGACCACGTGGTCCTTGTCATCATCTTCCTCAACTGCATCACCATTGCCATGGAGCGCCCCAAAATCGACCCCCACAGCGCTGTGAGTCACCGGGATGTAAACAGGGCTGTGGGGTCCTGCTCAGAGAAGGCCCCTCCTGGGTTAGTGCTCAGCTCAGAGCCAGCCAAGGAATCGAGGCAGCCGGGCAGTCTGTCTACCCTCAGGGTTCTTAGACTCCAGCCCCTCCTCCTGGCCCCCCAAGATGCCTTCTGTGTCCTTTCCTGCCTTGGTTTCCCCTACGTGGACACGCCAGCCTCACTGGGTGCCGTGCTGCACCCCAGGCTGTGTATGGCCGGCTTGTTCTCCTGCGGGGCAGGCATGTGTACGAGTCCCGTAGGGTTGGGCCCTGCAGCCTGAGACAGGTCCTTCTAGGGAGGAGCTCAGCCAGGCTGCCCGAGGGTGATGCACAGTAGGACAGGGGAGCTGCACTTTGCTCCTCGGGGCCCAGCCAGGTCACAGAGGGGGACATTGGTCCCTTCTGCTTGGCTCTGAACTCAGTCCTTCCCAGAAGGGCACGAGAGACCAGAAACCTGAGCCTCAGCCACCCCACCCGGGGACCTAACCTCTGTGGGAAGGGCCCCGTAGGGTTCTGGGAGCTGTCTTCCCAGCCTGGCGTCTCGGCTCCTCCCACTGGCAGCGGTTTGGGCCTAGAAGGGTGGGGGGAGTGGTCCTGCTTCCCCCCACAGCATTTAGCAGCACGGCTTGGAGGTGGCCTGAGGTCCCCTCCCCCCACCTCGCTACCCCCACATTATTGCTTGGATTTCAGAGCTGCCGGGGCTTCTGTTTTCCATTAGGGTGGGCTCCAGCCAGGCCGGGGTGGGGCTGCAGGGAGCCCCAGGAATGGAGGGGCTGGCCCGGGCCTAGGTGGGTGTGTGTGGGCTGCACTGGGGACCCCCACTGGACCTTGCCGGCTCCCAGGCCATGTGCCAAGCACTCTGTCACCGTCCCTGCCTTCCTGCTCAGCCCCTCTGGCTCCAAACGTGCCTGCCTCTCTCCTGCCGTTTCTTCATCCCTCACACTCACACTCACGCTGCCAACCACCTCCAGGCCCCTCTTGGCCACCACGCATGGCCTCAGCTCACGGGCAGTGGGCCGTCCGTGCCTGGCCCAGCAATGGTGCCCGAGTAGTCACTGTCATCTGTACCTAGGCCCCCAGCGTGCCTGCCTCGCTCCATTTCTGGGGCACACGGCAGGAAAGCAGGGAGGTGGGGGTCAGCGAGCGCATTCAACCCTGCTCCAATTTCAAGAAGGAGTTGGGGAATTGGGCCTGGGATTTGGGGCTTGGATAACAGCGTGGTGCGGAGCGTGTTTCCTCCAGGCCGTGTGGTAGGGGAGATTGTGCTGCGGGACAAGGACGAGACTGACTGTCCAGGCAGGCCGCACCTGGCACTTGTGTGTGTGTGACAGGGACGGAGACAGTCTGCGGGGAACTGTCCGGGTCATCGTGCGGGTGCAGCCGATCTCTCTGTGTCAAATGCTTCAAGCTGACTTTGGCTTCTATACGCAGACCTGGCCCAGGGCAAGGGGTCCCAGTGGGCAGCACCTGCCTCTCTCTCCTGCAGGAACGCATCTTCCTGACCCTCTCCAACTACATCTTCACTGCCATCTTTCTGGCTGAAATGACAGTGAAGGTGACGGTGGCTTTCGGCATTGGTTGGGCCCCTGCTCCCTGGTGGGCGTGGAGACTTTGGAGCTGGGAGAGGGTGGGAGGGCCAGCTGCTGTGGAGGGAGGGTTGCGGACTGTAGCGAGGGTGGCCGGTGACAGGTGGCTGTGGTCCCCAGGTGGTGGCGCTGGGCTGGTGCTTCGGGGAGCAGGCGTACCTGCGGAGCAGCTGGAATGTGCTGGACGGGCTGCTGGTGCTCATCTCCGTCATCGACATCCTGGTGTCCATGGTCTCCGACAGCGGCACCAAGATCCTGGGCATGTTGAGGGTGCTGCGGCTGCTGCGGACCCTGCGCCCGCTCAGGTGGCCCCCCACGCTACCCAGGCAGCTGCTGCAGTCCCCTCCCCACAAGGTGGTCACCTCGGGACCCCTCCCACAGCCAGCACCCCCCAGGACCACAAGTGACACTCAAATCATGGTTGTGGTGAATTCCCTTCAAGACATCTTGACCCTCCTTCTCTCCCAGGGCCACCTTGTGTAACAGGACATGGCACGAATGCAGCCCCGCTTGGGGCACCATAACAGGCCATAGGCAGGGTTCCCGTGGCTTCCCCGGGGGTCCCCACCCCGTGAGGGGCCACACATCATTCTCAGGGGTCCCCCACTCCCAGCCTGACCAGGGAATACATTTGTCATCCTGAGAGGGGTTGTCTGCAACCTTTCCGGGTTGCAGGGGCTCAGGGGCTTCATGGCAGGAAGAGGACGCTGGAGAGAGGACTCTGTTCTCCACAATGAAGGTTGGGGAGCCGAGAGGAGGGCCCCAAAGGGGGAATGGCCAAGGTTGGGGTGGGAACGGGGCAGGAACCCCTCTCACCCTCCTCGCTGCACTCCCTAGGGTAATCAGCCGGGCCCAGGGGCTGAAGCTGGTGGTAGAGACGCTGATGTCCTCCCTGAAGCCCATCGGCAACATCGTGGTCATCTGTTGTGCCTTTTTCATCATTTTTGGCATCCTGGGGGTGCAGGTGTGTGGGGGTCTGGGGTCTGTCCACGAAAGCCTGAGCACCAGGAGTCCTCTCCTCTTGGCCCCGAGGTTCATGCTACTGCTGCCATCATCCAGAAAGGAACTCTTCCTCCTGGGTCTTAGGCCTCAGGTCCCTTAGCCTCCATGGACCCCAAAGGGGACATGGCCTCAGAGAAGCCCCAGGCACGTGGACACTGCAGGCTGCTGTCCCTGCCCCCAGCACATTCCCAAGGAGATGCTGGCCTGCACCCCGACTCCGGGATCTCCTCCCTTCTTTCCCTGCTTGAGCAGGGCAGGCTACACGCCAGGCCTGGGGATCCAGGGCCCAGACAGCTGGGCCAGGTTAGCGGCGTGCTGGCAGGCGGGCGCAGACCCCAGACGAGGGAGGAAGTGGGGGCTGCCGGGGAAACCTGGCTTCTGGCCCAGGGAGGAAACTTGGCTTTGGAGGAGAAAGAACCAGAGCTGCCTGCAGGATTCAGCAGACGCCTCAGGGGACCAGGGAGCCCCTCCACCCTGTCTTCATCTTCCAGTGTCCGGTTCCAGCTGCAGGGCAGACTGCTGACAGTTAGGGTAGCGTGGGAGCTCCTGGTGGCCACCACCCCCCACCCGTTCCCTCCCTTCTTCCTGTGGTTCCCAGGATGTCCACTGTGCCCTGGGGAAGGGCTCTCCCCGGGTTTCCTAGAAATTCTCCAGCCCCAGGGACCAGGCTGCATTTGCCAAAGCTGTGTGGAGCCTCTCTGCCGAACCCTCCGCCCCACACAGGGCCAACGGGGAGACCCCCCCACCTTCCTGGGAGAGCAAGCTATTGTTGAGTCCAGTCCTGGGGCTCTTCCGGCCGGTTTAGGTCTGTCCCAAGCAGCTCACTCGGGCCTTTGATCCTCCTTTCCCGCAATCGCTTCCCACCCACCCCAGCTGTCATGGCCTGGTCTACACTGGAATGGGGGTGAACTTTCCAGACAGCCCTGGACTCCAGCCCCTTTCCGGCCACCCACCGGGTACCTCTGCAGGGAGGTTGACTGACCCCAGACCCCATGGGCCCCTGGGCTGGGGAGCCCTGGTTTCCGGGAGCGCAGCTCACTTCTCTCTCTCCCGGGCATCTGTGTGCTTCCAGCTCTTCAAAGGGAAGTTCTTCGTGTGCCAGGGCGAGGACACCAGGAACATCACCAACAAGTCGGACTGTGCTGAGGCCAGTTACCGGTGGGTCCGGCACAAATACAACTTTGACAACCTTGGTCAGGTGAGCCCCAGGCCGGAGGTGGGGGTGGTGGTGGTGGCAGGAGTTGGGAGGGGACACGAGTCCGTCACACTGAGTGAGATGGGCCCACTCAGTTGGAGAGATGGGCAAACACAGAAACCGGTCCCTGGCTGTCTAACCGCCAGCCGGTCGCCAGGCTCAGTCCATCCGGGGCACTCCAGCCAGTGAGCCCACGGGGCCTCTGGAGAGCTCCACCCAAGATGAGCGTGAGGACTCGCCCAGGGCCACCATGCCACACGGCAGAGCAGCCAACACACATCAGATTGGGTGCAGGCAGCCTGCAGGTGAATCATTTGTCAAATGAGCACCGTCTGGCAGCCTGGTGACCTTGGGCAGCTGGTCTGCCAGGGCCTCGGTTTCATCAGCTGGTGAATGGGGTCCTAATAGTACCTCCTTGGGCTCGGGGTTTCTTCTCACTCGACCTCTGCAGACAGAAACGTGAATGGTGAGGTAGCTCACTCAGTTTGGCTGGCTTTGATATCTGGATTCCCAGGGCTCTGGGGTCCCTTTCCCTATCTGGCTGAGATCGGACACTGTGGTCGTCTCTCGTGGCTTTGGGTCACATGGAGCCCTGGGACAGAGAGTCTTCCTGGGGACTGGAGTATGACCCCGGCCAGACCTCCCAAAGGCTGGACACCCCAGAGCTACTACCAGGAGACACCCCGGTGGTGGGTAATGGGTGGCCCAGCCATTCATTCTAGACGTCAGGTGGCCTGTCTCCTCCTCCTGCTTCATCTGCCCCTCTGCACAGGCCCTGATGTCCCTGTTCGTGCTGGCCTCCAAGGATGGTTGGGTGGACATCATGTACGACGGGTTGGACGCTGTGGGCGTGGACCAGCAGGTGAGGCTGAGGTGGGCAGGAGCTGATGCCAAGGGTCGCAGTGCAAGCACTGACCAGCAAGAGTGACACCGGAGAGGGGCCACGTCTCACAGCAGGGCTGTAACTGGTGGCCCGTGAGTCGGATCTGGCTGTGTTTTATTGGCCTGCAATACATTTACATTTTTTGGAATTAGTGATGAACATTTAAAAATCAGTGAACTTGACATGGAAATCCAGCTACTCAGGAAAGTCTTATAAGCCCTATTAACCCTGGGCTCGTGTCCCCTCTGGGCAGCAGTGTGTGGGTGGGTGGAGAATATCAACTGTCCTTTGCCCCGTTCCCACCCCTCCCTACTGCCTAACACCAAACCCACAGGGTCCACTCCTCACCCAGGCCCTGCACGCAGGGGCAGCGCCCAAGACGGTTCGCCCTCGGGCTGATGCCTCCATCTGTCCTTCCTGCTCCTGCCAGCCTATCATGAACCACAACCCCTGGATGCTGCTCTACTTCATCTCGTTCCTGCTCATCGTGGCCTTCTTCGTCCTGAACATGTTTGTGGGCGTGGTGGTGGAGAACTTCCACAAGTGCCGGCAGCACCAGGAGGAGGAGGAGGCACGGCGGCGGGAGGAGAAGCGGCTGAAGAGGCTGGAGAAAAAGAGAAGGAGTAAGGAGAAGCAGATGGCCGGTCGGTAGTCTTTCCACATCTCTCTGGGTCGTGCTTGACCTTGGCCTGTGACTGCAGGGGGCCGGGGCGGGGACTGAGGGGGGGCAGGGAGAAGCCGCTCCTGCCCCCCTCCTCTCCTCTCCCCAGCAGCATGTCTGCCTTTAGAGCCTGCATGGAGCAGACCGGGTCAGCCCTGCGGGTGAGGACACTGCCCCCACAGTGGGCTCCCTGGTCTCAGCCTCATGCTGTCCAGGCGGGAGCTGGCGCACGGCCTCTCATCGCGACTCTCAGAGGAGCCTCGGGGCTTAGGAACCTGGTGCCACATCGCCCCATGCTGGTGTGCAGTGACCCGGGATGGGCACAGGTGCCGGCCCAGCCTACCCCAGGGCTGCCCGGCAAGCGTCTTGACACTGTGGCTGCCTAGTTCAGTAGCTGCTGAACAAGATCTCGGCAGGACCCGCAAAAGGGACAGCAGCTCAGCTCTCCCTCCCTAGGCCTAGCGAAACTACCATGACCCTGATTGTCAGGGCCTTGGCCAAACCAAAAGAAGAAAAAGAAAACTCCCCTCGCTCATGATGAGCCTCAGTCTCTCTCCTATGGCCCCAGCATCTGCTGCACAGGGTGGGTGAGCCCTGTGCCATCCCTCCTCGCGCCTCGGTGTCACAGAGGTGCTGGGGTGGCAGGAAAAGACACACTGGGCCTGGGGCGCAGGGTGTGTGCCAAGCGGCCAGCAGGAGCCACTGTTTGTGGTGTGGCTGCAGGTGCAGGAGCGCCTGGCTCTCAGCCGGCTGTCCCGGCTTCTGTCTGTTATCCAGTCTCGGAGCCTCTCTCCGCCACAGCCCACATCCCTTCACGTGGCTCTCTGTGTGGGTTCCCAGCCTCTGTGTCTCTGTGTCTGTCCCCGTTTGCTCTGTGGGTTTCCCTTCCTCTTTCCACCCTCTTACAAGCCGTCTTCCCTCCGCTGCTAAGACGCGTGCAGGGCTCTGCGTTTTCCTGGTGGTGTGTGGAAAAGTGAGTACCACCAGGCGAGTCAGGGCTGCGGGGACCCCTCTGCCCTTGGCCTGTGACCAGGCACCCAGAAGAGAGGGGAGAGTGTGGGAGCCACACGAGGTGGGGAGCAGGGCCATTGCTGTCTTCCAGGGGAGGGTGCTGCTTCAGGAGTCACCGGGCAGCCATGGGCAGTTCAGTTCTCTGCGCTGTGTCCCTCCACCAACCCCAAGACCCCAGTCCGGCTCCAGGCTGGGGATCCACTCTTGCCTTCCCCACTGAGTCCTAAGCTTCGCGAGTGCACTGTCCCCAGTGTTCCAGCCCCTGCTCCATGCACCCCGCACCCCTCCCAAAGGGCTGTCTCCCTCCGAGGGGCATCTGCAGATGGAATTCTTTTGGCAGGAGGTACCATGGCCCCCGCCTGGCCAGCTGGCTCCCCTCTGGAGTCTGGCACTGCAGCTGAGGCCATGGTGCAGCAAGAGAGGATGTCTGTTCTGGGGACAGGCCGCCTGCCCCTCCCAGTGCCTTCCTGCGTCCCCTGTGACCCCAGCGAGCTGGCTGAATCATTAGTCTTCCTCAAGTGCCCTGTGTCTCCCAATTTGGGGTTGTAATTGAGAACCAGCCACCCGTGCTCAGCGTACCCCATTTGTAGGCAAAATGAGGGTCAGAGCCGAGGGGGAGCCAGCTGAGAGGGGCCCTGCCCAGCACGCCTGGGCCGGCCAATGACCAATGTCGTGTTTCGTTCTTTTAGATCTAATGCTGGACGATGTAATTGCTTCCGGCAGCTCAGCCAGCGCTGCGTCAGGTACTGCGTCTGGGGCGTGGGTTCATGCGTGTGGGGAAGTGCTCTCTGCCCCTCTCCATGGCTCCTTGATTCTGTCCTCCGGGGTGCAAAGCTAAGGGTCCCTGGGGCCCCCAAGAGGGCAGAGGCTGAAGCACTCGGCTCTCTGCCATGGTGCAGACCCCTGGCCTGCCGCTGCCTCCTCCCTGCACCCTGTTCCTTGGTCCCACTCTTCAGTTATTAGAGCTGCAGGTCTCTCCATCTCCTCTTGTCTGAGGGGGAGATTTTGATCGGAGGGCGCAGGATGAGAGGAGCAGAGGGAAGGATTTGTCTTAAAAATGTAATGATGAATAATTGAACCGGCCCATTAATAGTCAAGTAACTGTGGTGGCCACGTCATTGGCATAAACATCAGGAATTGGGAACCAGAGGCCTGAGTTGGCCACATGCTTCTTCCAGAAAACCCTACTGTTTGGGAGTGAGTCAGGCCCTTATCTCCAAGAGCTGTGTCTCTGGGAAGGCCTCCCAGTGCCACCTGCCCTCCCCTGGCTCCCCTGGTCCCCCCATACAGGTCCCCAGACTGAGGTTTGGAGGATCAGAGAGTCTGTGACAGGGCTGTGGGAGCTCCTCACACCCCCTGATGTCCTGGCTTGTGGTTCCCAAGCTGTTTATCCTCCTGATTCCCCCATCACCTCCTCCTGCAGACCCCAGTTTGGAAGACTGCCTCTGAAAGTTAACAGCGCTTCAGTAACTGTTTCACCCATTTTACGAATCAAAGGTGCATCTAATTGCTAGTCAGAATTTTGGAGCTGCAGAAGGTTACACAGTGAAAGATGGCGGAAAAAAGACCATTTTGCCTTTAAGTTAGCCTGTGGAGTCTTAACACAGGCAAACGTTTGATTCTTGTAAGCTTTTAGAAATACTGCAGAGAACCGAAGGACCCTCGGGTGGCTGCCTCTTGAGGCTGCCCAGGGCTTGGAATCAATGGGAGCCGTTTGCTGTCTCACTCTACTCTTTCCGTTGCCCTACTTGGCCACGTTCCACCCCGATTTTAGGGGGCGCAGGGACTGTTCAAGGGGGACCTCTGAGCCTTCATCCCCAGTCATTCCTGTTGCCCTCGACAGATCCACACCTGTCCCCAGGGTGCTGAGCTACGTATTTGGCATTGAGGGCCCATTTCTCTGGGGCTCAGGAGCCTGTGGCTGGTTTGTGTCTGGGCTGTGGGACTCCCCATGTCTCTGTGTCAGGCTGTTCTGTGAACCCTTGAAGTGTTAGGGGACGTGGGGGAGAGGGGAGAAGGTAATCTTCAGCTTTTCCCACTGGGGCCGTGGGCTGAAGTGTGCACGTAAGCTCACCTCAAAACACCTAGTCCTGGGCTGGCCCATGGAGGTCCCATCAGACGGGATGTCCCATGACTCAGTACAGCCAGCCCCAAGATGTGACATGCTGACTGTACAGTGTACGCTGCATATCCTCACCCTGCACCCGCATGCTGGGTCTGCTGTCCTGATGCTGTTGGACTTAAGGACACAGAGATCTTGAACAGGGGTAAAGAATATCCCCAAACCCTCTCCCCAGCACCTGGGTTTCCCTGGAGGGTCCAGACTGCAGTGTACATCCACATCACCCAGAGCGCTTACCCACGCGGATTCCCGGGCCCCAGACAAGTACTCCTAGTTTTCTGGGCTCTGCATTTCCAATTGGCTCTTGGGGTGACAGGAGACATAGTCACCCTCCCAGCCTGGGGCTGCTGGGAATCAAACCTGTGCACCACAACTCCTCCCTGGGCCACCAGACCCAGGGCAAGGCAGAAGGGAAGAGTTTGATTTCTCCGGGAATGGGCCTGACCAGACCCTTGGGGCTGCTGGTCCTCTTTGGCCACCTGTGACAGTCACCTCCACTTACCCCCTATCCTTCCCCAGGGCAGGACCCACAGCAGCCAAAGGCAACGCCTCTGCTGGGGGACCCGTGTCCTGGGGAGTGTCCCTGCCTTCCACTCTCTCCCTGTCACTGTCCTTTGCCCACGACCTGCCCTGGCTGTGCCCTGGGCTCCCTGTGACCCCTACTAACTCATCGCGCCTGTTGCCACTCAGCGCCCTCTTGCCCGCCTGGCTAGGGGCCTGGTGCCCTTCTGCCTTCTGTCCGACTCTGGTGTCTTCCTCACCTAAGGCAGCTCGTACTGGTGGGGGGCAGGGAGATGTGACCAATGACTTGGGCTGGAAGCTTGGGGCCTGCAGGTTTTGCTCGGTTACAGCACAGGGGGTGGCGAGCTGTGGCCCGCGGGACCGGCCTGCTGCTCTGGGACCTGGGCTGTAGGAGAGGGGCACCGACAGCCCAGCACCTGCAGGCCTGGGATAGGGACTCTGGATGGGAGGGCCACAAGCAAATGTCTGCCTCAGTTGTCCCATCCCTACCTCCCTGGTGGGAGAGACCCCTGGCTGGATCCAAGCCCACCCAGCTCTCAGAGCAAGACCAGAAGGCAGAACTGCAGAGGCAGCAGCTCCTTTTGGCCTGGGGCTACCTGTACAGTCAGGCCGGGGTCACAGAGAGGAGGGCCTCTCTTCCAGCTTCCCGTCTGCATTGTCACAGCTAATAATGGGGCTAATAAGGAGCCGCTTTTTCTAACCTAATTGTATTCAAACATTTTAGTTAATTCTCCATTCATATTTTAGCATAATGGGATCGGGTGCTCTCGGCATTTATGGAGATTAATGCAGAGAAAGAGTTCCGGCTGCTAAGGCAACGCAGGGCGACTAGCGCCCTCTGGTTCTCACGGTACTGCAGGAAGGAAGGAAGACGCCCAGCAGCCCGCCCACTCTCCACAATCGGGTGTAGATGACCAGTGGCCTCATGCTGCCCCTCACCCTCGGCTGGCCCATCTCTGGACACAAAAGAATGGCCCTGTGTACCCCTAAGGCACACTCAACCTTATTGGGGTCCCTGTGCCTCTGGTTATCCACACCTCAAGGCCGATGTGGAGCGGGGCCGGGTAGGCTTGGAGCAGAGCAGCTGCGGGGCTGACCACACTGCTCCTGGGCACTCTTCCTCCTTCAGCCTTGGGTGGGGGCCCACCCAAGGCTGCTCCCTGCCTCAGTTCACCTCTCAGCTGAGTGGTCCTCTGCATGGGAAAGGATGGTTATATCTGAGCTAACCTGGTCCCAAAGCTTCCTGCCACCCCTGAGGCAGCTTCCGGGCCAGGCCTCAGAGTCTGCAGCCTTTACTAGCTGGCTTCCATCCGAGAGGGAAGGGCTGTCTGGGACCTGAGGCTGCCCTGGAGACCAATCTGTACACACTCCGGATGCCGTGTGCCTTCCCTTGGTGTGGCCCTTCCCCAGCACCTGGAGGAGGGGCCCCTACGATCTCCTGCTCTCAGTGCAGGCTCACCTCCTGGCACTAATTTTTATGACTAAGTGCTTGGTTAATTACAAGAGCAATGCTGTGCCTGTGACAGATCTCAGACAGTGCTTTTGGCCCAGCCTGCGCTCTCACACCATCCCGACACCCAGGGGCAGGCTGGGCACGGCCTCGTTAGAAACTAGGTGAGTCTGTCAGGGGCCCTCCCAGCTTGCATCTGGGACGGGGCAGAGCCTAGCACCCTCCCCATGGCCCTCCTCAGCATAAGGCTGCCGGAGACCCAGGCCCTGTCCCCGGAGGCCCTGTGGTGGCTCCGTGCAGCCAGCCAAGAAGATGTCAATTTCCAATCTCCAGCTCTATCTACAAATCCCAGATCTGGGTAATCTCGGCTCCCCCAGGGGCTGAACTAGGTGAAGGCGATGCATTGACAGGGCTTCCTCTGAGCCCCACAAGGCGGGGTCTGTTTCATCTTGCTGGTCTGGCCTCGCTTCAGAATTTGAGCCGAGGTGTTAAGAGGGGCTGGTGATTTCGGAGGCTGCCTAGGGGAGGGGCTCACCTGGTGTCTAATGGAGGTGGGGAACTCTGCATGTCCTGGCCCATCCTGCCCCCTGACTGCAGCCAGTAGAACAGATGCTTGGAGGGGGCCCTGCCAAGAGAGCTGCCCCACAAGGGGAAGGCGAGGACACTGGTGACGCGGAATGTTTAGCTCTGGCATAGAGGCTGGCGGCTGGGCCGGGCTGTGGGGGGAGGGGTGGGGGGACAGAGGCTGACATCACCCTGCTCTCCTCCCTTCCCCTCCCAGAAGCCCAGTGCAAGCCCTACTACTCTGACTACTCCCGCTTCCGGCTCCTCGTCCACCACCTGTGCACCAGCCACTACCTGGACCTCTTCATCACGGGGGTCATCGGGCTGAATGTGGTCACCATGGCCATGGAACATTACCAGCAGCCCCAGGTAAGAGTGAGTGACCAGTCAGCAGCCCCTCAGCCCAGGCGTCTCTGTGCCGAGCGAGCGCTGAGCACACAGCCTGGGCTTCCTTACGGATGTCATCCTTGTTTCATAAGTAAGGATGTTGAGACTTAAAGAGATTGGTCGGGGCCTGGGATTCAGCTCAGCGGTGCCGTCGCCTGCCTCAAGCACAAGGTCCTGAGTTCAGTCCCCAGTGCCAGAGAGAGAGAGAGAGAGAGAGAGAGAGAGAGATTGGCCAGCTCCAGATCCCACCTGTGATCTTGCCACTTTTCCAGTCATCCCCAGCACCGCTCAGTTTCCCCATCTGTACAATGGGAGATGGAGTTGGCAAGGCACAGAGCCCCTTGCAATCTGATCGTGCTGGGCCTTCCAGTACTCTCTTGTGTGTTCTTCTCACTGTCTCTCAGGGAGGGAGATCCTTTAGCATGGGCTTGAATCGTTCACATGAACAAGGCCCCCCTGTCTTGGGCGGTGGCCGATGGTCTGCCATCGTGGTGGGAAGGGGATATAGGTCCCTTGAGATCCATCTTGTCTCCACTCCTGCGAGGCGTGGTGGTGGAGGAGCTGAGGCAGGTGTCAGCCCTGACCTGCGGAGACCCTACCTCTTGCCCCCATCCCTGCCAGATCCTGGACGAGGCTCTGAAGATCTGCAACTACATCTTTACCGTCATCTTCGTCTTGGAGTCAGTTTTCAAACTGGTGGCCTTTGGCTTCCGCAGGTTCTTCCAGGACAGGTAACGGAGAGGAGGGGAGGAGGGGAGGGAGGGAGGGCAGACTGAGACTCTGGGCAGTGACCCAGCGGACTTAGTGCCTGAAGACCCTTAAGTCCTGGGATCCAGCCCCCAACCTAGGGCTGACATTGGTGGTTTGGGGAGCATCCAGGGCTTGGGAGCTGGGAAGGGATGGAAAGAATTTGACAAGACAGGACTTAGAGGCCCTCGGCAGCTAGAAATCGATGTGGCTTAGCCTGGGGTAAAAGGGCACAGAGCCTGGAGCCAGACTGCCTAGTTCTTCCACCCTTTTGTAGCTGGTGACTTTGGATAAGTTACTCAACTTCTCTGAGCCCCACTTTGCTCATCAGTAAAGTGAGAAATAATAGTAGTATCCGTGACGGTCGTGCGATTCTGAACTCCTACTTGTAAAATCCTTAAAACAGTGCCTGGCATGGAATAGACACCGTGTAAGTGTCAAATAAAAGAAGCAGATGAATGTCGATGAAAAGCAGAGACCCTGGAGCTAAGGCCTAGTTCTGCCTACCTGTGCCACTAGCTGGCTGTGTGGCCTTAGACAAGCCACGTCCCTTCTCTGCAGGACGGGAGGCTGCACCAGCTGACCTCTGCCCTCCTTTCCAGCTGGGTCTTTCTGCGCCACAACTGCCCCTCCTCCGTCACCCCCACCCCCCACTCAGGGAGCTGTGTCCCGGGCTTTCCAGGTGGAACCAGCTGGACTTGGCCATCGTGCTGCTGTCCATCATGGGCATCACACTGGAGGAGATTGAGGTCAACGCCTCACTGCCCATCAACCCCACCATCATCCGCATCATGAGGGTGCTGCGCATCGCCCGAGGTGGGTCCAGGCTCCCTGCCCACTTCTTGCCCGCCCAGGGTGACCAGCCCAGAGCACACAACCAACTCCAAAGTGGAAGGTCTGGAGCTGGTGCGGATGTAGACTGCCCGGCATCCTGGGCAACCCACCAGCCCCAGCCCCACCCCACCTGGCTCCACCCCTTGGGTGACCAGGGTCAGAGAGGGGCAGCTGATGACCTTGTCCTGTTCTGCAGTGCTGAAGCTGTTGAAGATGGCCGTGGGCATGCGGGCGCTGCTTGACACGGTGATGCAGGCCCTGCCCCAGGTAGCTGGAAGGTGCCGTGGGCTGGGGTCCTCTTGGTGAGGGGGTGGCACTCTGCATAGGGACAGGGGGCTCTGGGAAGCTGGGAACTGGAAGATCCAGCAGCACCATTTCCGTTTCTTTCCCTCTTTTCCAGGTGGGGAACCTGGGACTTCTCTTCATGCTGTTGTTTTTCATCTTTGCAGCTCTGGGTGTGGAACTCTTTGGAGACCTGGGTGAGTTGGGGCTGGGAAGGGCAGAGGGGCTGGGTTGGGGCTGGAGGCCGTTGGACTCCTGGACCCATGAAAGCCTCTCTTCTCCCTCTCTCCCCCCGCAGAGTGTGACGAGACACACCCCTGCGAGGGCCTGGGCCGGCATGCCACCTTCCGGAACTTTGGCATGGCCTTCCTGACCCTCTTCCGAGTCTCCACAGGTGACAACTGGAATGGCATCATGAAGGTGAGGCCCTGCTCGAATCCCTGCCCTCCCAGGGCTGGCTCAGGCAGCAAGGAGGCAGCCCCACTTTCTCAGCCAAGATTCTTGAGAAGATGAGTTGGCCATGGATGAAAGCATGTGCCCTTCTGTCCCCCGTCCAGAACACTCCGGAACCCCCTCCCCCAGGACACGCCCGGCTCAGCACCTCCCCAGGCGGCCCTGATGCTCTTCTGTCCCCAGGACTCTGGGGCTCCCTCCTCCCGCATATTCCTTCTCCCGCCTCGGTGCCCTCGGCGCTGTAGCACCAAAGGCCCGGTTTTCCGCGGCAGCTCCACCCGCCATCCTCCCAGCTACCTCTGTCCTGCCTCCCCCAGGACACCCTCCGGGACTGTGACCAGGAGTCCACCTGCTACAACACTGTCATCTCGCCCATCTACTTCGTGTCCTTTGTGCTCACGGCCCAGTTCGTGCTGGTCAACGTGGTGATCGCTGTGCTCATGAAGCACCTGGAGGAGAGCAACAAGGAGGCCAAAGAGGAGGCCGAGCTGGAGGCGGAGCTGGAGCTGGAGATGAAGACGCTCAGCCCGCAGCCCCGTTCGCCACTCGGGAGCCCCTTCCTCTGGCCTGGGTTGCAGGGCCCCGACAGCCCTGACAGCCCCAAGTCCAGGGCCCCACACGAGGCGGCCCACTCCCTCGAACACCCCACGGTGAGCCTGCAGCACCCTGCGACAGCCGGCAGTGTGGGGTGGGTGGCCAGCATCTCAGCGGGTGGTGGACAGGGAGCCCGGTGGAACCTAGGGCTCTTCCTAGATCCTCTGGGTGCTGAGGGACCAGCGGCAGGGATGGCAGGGCGGCCCTCAGCAGTGTGGCCGCAGATGTGCCAGCCTGTCTGTCCCCTGCTCCTCCAGCCTGGTGTGGCTCCCTTTCTGGCTCTTAGGTTCAAGGCTAAGTTTTCTGTTTCCTTCCTGTTTCTCTTTCCCTTGCCCAACTGCTGAACCTCTTCCTACCCATCTTTAACCTGCCTGGTTCCCTTCATCTCGCCATCCTTTTTACTAATCCCTGATTCCCTCTTCCTCTCTCCTGCTCGTCTTCCCTTCCCATTTCCCTGCCCCCTCCCACACGGCCCCTCTTCTTTCTCGCCTCTCCGTGACTGTGTGTATGCATGTGCACGCGTGTGTGTCCTGTGGCTCTCACCCCCGCTTCCTCCGCCCTTGTCAAACCCATGACAATTCCCGTCACTGCCCTGTGTTCCCCCCGCTCCCCAACTCCCCCGATGGGCTGGTCCTCCCAGGACAGACAGCTGTTTGACACCATCTCCCTGCTGATCCAGGGCTCCCTGGACGGGGAGCTGAAGCTGATGGACGAGCTGGCGGGCCCAGGGGGCCAGCCTTCTGCCTTCCCTTCCGCCCCCGGCCCAGGCGGCTCCGACCCACAGGTTACTGTGCTGTGTGCTGTGCCCCCCACCCCGACCGTGCCAAGCTGTGCCATGCTGTGCTGTGCTTTTGGGGAGGCTGGGGGTCTTGAGAAAGAGTAGTCACAGGGCCTCAGTGGAGGTAGGCGGGAGTCAGCTGGGGGTGGGGGTCTAGGCTGCTCTGGAACCGACACGGGAGGTGGGGCACTGAGAATGCTCTTCGAAGGGGGCGTGGTGCAGGAAGGGTTGGGGGGGCTTTGTAAGAATCTGGAAGGGAAGAGGGGTGGGGCAGTGGGACTCTAGGGGTTTCCAGGGACAGCGGGTGACCAGGGACCCGCACTAGGCCATGTCTTGAGCCACAGTCTATTTTTCTGTGGTGTCCAGTACCCTCCCCCAAGTCTCCTGGTGATTTTCTAAGCCCCTGGAATTATGAGCACTGTCAGTAGCCAGTGACTTGGGTCCTAGGGGAACTGACATGGATTCTGGGACCATGGCGTGAAATAAGACTTGGCTCCCCCTACCCAGCCTGGCCCCTTCCCACAGCACCCACTGCGGCCACATCCAGAGCTTCTGCTTTCTGGGCTCCTCCTCTCCTCCCTTGGCCCAGGTCCCCTGTCTCGCCCCTAGGTCAGGGGCAGAGCAGACCTTGAGCTCCAGGCAGACCTGGAGCAGGCGGGACCTGACAGGTATCACCTGGAGATGGAGGAACTTAGTTTCTGAAGGCTCTGCTGGGTGGCAGGCGGGTGCCTAGGAAGACTTTACCCAGTGCAGAGACACGGGCAGTGACTGGCAAATGGCGAGTGCCCGTGACTTTGCCGGATCCAAGCTAGGCCTGGCAGTGACCTAGCAGGACCAGCGGGAAAGCCAGTCCCTGCCCTGCACCTCCCAGGCTCACAGGAAAGGTGCCAGGAGAGGAGAGGGGTGATGGGAAGGCGATTGGGACCGCTGCCAGCCCAGTCCCTCTCCCCCAGAGTCCAAGAGACCTTGTGACCGCCCCCCTGCAGACCACAGGAGAGCTAGCCGGATGGTGTGGCGGCTCTGACGTGCCCACTGGAGCCTGGTGGGGTCAACATCTCCCAGGACCCAAGCTGGAGAGAGCGTGCAGGCTGCAGGGTGCAGCAGGCAGGCGGAGGATCTGGGGGCAGGCCAAGTCCTGCCAGGCTTTTGGAAGCAGAGAGAATAGGCAGAAAACAGCTGCCAGTACCCCCCACACCGCTCTGTCTGCACTGAGAGGAGAGGAGATGGCTTCGCTGGCCTTTCTCTCTTTTTTTCTTCCTTTATTTTTTTGGTTGGGTGTCATCTGCGTGAGCGTCAAAGCCCAGGCTCCTCCACTCCCCTGGGTAGTGGTCGTGTGGGAGTGGCTGCTCAGGTGCCTGGGTATCTTGAGAACCCATCTCTGTGTCCCGGCTTTGTCACTGTTTGCTCTGTGGTGCCGGCTGCAGACTCTGATCAGAGCAGGGGCTGAAGTGGGTGAGGGGAGGCGCGGTTGATTATTCGGGAAAGGGGTGGGTCGCGGCAGGGCTGCCTCCCCCACCCCTGCTTTGCGGAAAGGGGAATTGCGCCGTCCGCCGTCCTGGTTTCTCATGCCTGGTCATCTCTCTCCTGTCTAGATCCCTCTAGCTGAGATGGAGGCTCTGTCTCTGACGTCAGAGATTGTGTCTGAACCGTCCTGCTCTCTAGCTCTGACGGATGACTCTTTGCCTGATGACCCTCACACACTCTTACTTAGTGCCCCGGAGAGCAGTGTATATGCACACACCCCTCATGCCCCCCTGGCCGGCTGGGCCGGGCTGGCTGCAAGGCTCCAGGTCCTCACCCCCTCTGGCATCGGCCCCTGCCCAGAGGCGTCCCCCTCGGGCCTTCTTGGACGTGAGGCCTTTCAGGTCTCCCCTGGGGGACCAAGACATTAGAGAAGATAAAATGGAAGCCGGGCCCAGAGGGGCAGCAGCTCTAAAAGGTTCACTCCAGGAGTGACACCCCAAAACAGTAGTGGCCTCAGAGCCAGCCTCTGTGTTTGGAGCCCTGTGCAGGCCAGCCCTCCCCTCCCTCAGCCCTCCTTCCTCCTGTCCCCCACATGAGATGTCACCACGGCCAAGTGGTGGGAGCCACACCTGCTGCCGCCACCATGCCCTCCTCCTCCTGGGGGCTGTGCCTGTCTCCCTTGTCACTGTCCCTGTGTGTCCTTGTGTCCCCGTCTCCTTCTGACCGTGAGCAGCCCCCTCTTCCCGGCCTGATGTCAGAGCAGGGCCCGGGTGGGTGGGGCCTTGACCGTGGGCTGAGGATCCCGAGTGGGGTGCGGGACTGAGAAGGGAGCAGAGGACCCAGACTGTCCTCTGGCAGGACCTCCCTGGCCTGCTGGGGCTGAATGATCTGCTGGGCCCACGTGGGAACGAGTCCATGAGAGCTAGGGACGAGCAGTTCAAGGGAAGGGGTCGCAGGGGGTGGAGCGCAAACGCGGGCTCCCTCCAGGGCTCATTACCCCCTTCTTTGAAGCAGATGACCCAAACCCATTTCTATCCACAGGGGGAGGAACGGAGCCCGTAGTTCCCAGGCCTGGCCACCCACCCTCCCCTCCAGAGCCCCTGTGTGGCTGCAGTGGGGGTGGGGAGTGGGCTGTGACAGGCCCCAGTGCTCATCTGTCACTCACCCACGTGAACCCAGGTCCCCTGGTCCCCTGTGAACGGCGGAGCTCCCTTCAGAGCCTCCGGGGGGGTCTTTAGAAAGTGCAGGGGGACCATTCACAGGGCCGGGAGTAGGGGCTGCTCTCCCTTCTCAGATGCCTCCTTACTCCCACCCCGACCCCACTGGGAGGCTCGCAGGCGATGCCAGGGGCATGGGTTGGGTGCAGGGCCTCCCCTCTCTGCCCACTCCAGGGGGGCTCATCATCGTGTGTCTGCCCCCCCCCCCGCCACCTCATGCCCATCACCACCTTGTCCCGGGGGCGGGGCCTGGGGGGCAGGGCCTGCTTTCCCTCATCCACCTCTGCCTCCATTACCAACCCAGGGCCTCCCTGCTCACCCTGTCCCGTTCCTCTTGCAGATGGAGCCCCACCTTGGGGAGGCGCCTGGAGTGCTGGCACCAGACCTGCTGACTGTGCGCAAGTCTGGGGTCAGCCGGACGCACTCTCTGCCCAATGACAGCTACATGTGCCGCAATGGGAGCATGGCCGAGGGGTCCCTTGGACACAGGAGCTGGGGGCTCCCTAAAGCCCAGTCAGGTACCAGGGCTGGGGCGGGACAGCTTTGCTCACACAGCGAGACCCCAACCTTGCCTGAGCCCAGCCCCGACCCAGGGGAGCCATGGAGGCTTCAGGAAAGGTCTGTTCGACCTCTGGGGATCCCTCAGCCGTGGCCCGAGGGAGCCCACAGCCAGAGTGGGGTGGCTTTTCATCCAGGATGGTGAGGGCCAGGTTCTGATGGAGTAGGAAGGAGGGGCTCAGGTCTCTTCACCCTTCTATCCCCTCCCCAGGCTCCATCCTGTCCGTTCACTCCCAGCCTGCAGACACCAGCTACATCCCAGAGCTTCCCAAAGATGCACCCCACATGCTCCAGCCCCACAGCGCCTCCCCCTGGGGCACCATACCGATGCTGCCCCCGCCTGGCCGCTCCCCTTTGGCTCAGAGGCCCCTCAGACGCCAGGTGAGCAGTGGGGAAGGCTGGACTGTTGGCCAATGACCACCTGGGTGACGCTTTCATTCTCCCCCAAACGCTGTGCCCCCGTGATGCACTAGGCCCAATTCTAGGGACCAGGGACAAGCAGAAGTGGCCTGTGTGCTCCTGGAGTTTGACCCTCCTCCCCTGGTTTCATTGAGGAGGCCAGAGGTGGGCTGTGACGGCCCAGGGCCTCACACATTCAGGTAGCGTAGGACAAGGGCTCAGGGATCCCTTCCTGGAGTGGCCGTGCTGTTCTTTTTCATACTTGGAACTGGGCCCGGGACCAGAGGCAGGTCCTAAGTGTCTTCACTTTCAGCCAAGCCTGGGCCACTGTCCAGAGCCCACATTGCAGAGGGACAGAGGACAAAGACTCATGGAGCAGGTGAGGCTTGTCTGCTGCACCTGTGGCCGTGGCCAGCACCCATGCCCCAGTGTGTATCCCAGTACCTGAGCCTGGGTGGAGGAGATCGGCTGAGTCGGTGCACTTGGGGAGCAGGCACAGCACCAGCCACTCCCCACACCCTCGCTGAGCAGCCTGCGAGGCCAAAGCCTGAGAGTGGACACACGTGTGCCATCAGATTACCACAGTAGCAGGTCACAGCGGTCAGCGCTCACGAGTGGGGTGCAGCGAGCAGCAGAGAAGAGGAAGGGGTTGGTTTCACGTGGGGTGGAGATTGCCAGGTGTCACGTCCCAGAGGACCTGAGGCCTGGTGGATGTAGAGATCAGGCCCACATGCCCCATCTCCCAAGAAGAGCAGCTTGGGGGTCTCCTGCGGCTGAATGAGGTGGGGCATTCAGTGTAAGGAAAGGGACAGGGACAGTGCAGGTTGGAGAGGAGCCCCTGCACTAAGCCCTCTGTCCACCCCTTACAGGCAGCAATACGGACTGATTCCTTAGACGTGCAGGGCCTGGGCAGCCGGGAAGACCTGCTGTCCGAGATGAGCCGGCCCTCCCCACCTCTGGCCCGCAGCCTGAGCAAAGTCTCCAAACACATCCCACCGCCAGCCTCTCGCCTGGGTCCAGAACCCCACCGGGGCAAGGACCCTCCAGAGACCAGAAGCAGCCTAGAGCTGGACACGGAACTGAGCTGGGTTTCAGGAGACCTCCTGGCCATCGGTGGCCAGGAGGAGCCCGCTTCCCCACGTGACCTGAAGAAGTGCCACAGCGTGGAGGCCCAGAGCTGCCGGCGCCGGCCTGCATCCTGGCTGGACGAGCAGAGGAGGCACTCTATCGCGGTCAGCTGCCTGGACAGTGGCTCCCAGCCCCGCCTGGAACCAGACCCCTCCAGCCTCAGTGGCCAGCCTCTCGGGGCACCTGGGAGCCGCCCCAAGAAAAAACTCAGCCCGCCCAGTATCTCCATAGACCCCCCAGAGAGTCAAGGCCCTCGGCCCCCACCCAGTCCCGGCGTCTGCCTCCGCAGGAGGGCGCCGTCCAGCGACTCCAAGGATCCCTCAGCCTCTGGTCCTGACAGCATGGCTGCCTCGCCCTCCCCAAAGAAAGACATGCTGAGTCTCTCCTGTTTGTCCTCCGACCCGGCAGACTCGGACCCCTGAGTCCCGCCCACTGTCCCGCTCACCTTTCTCCACTGGGTGCAATTCCTGGCCCTCCTCCTGGGCCGTATTCCTGAAAGAGTCCCACGTAGACACCAAGGAGGCAGCCGTCCCTGCCTCCACGGCCCTAGGTACCTGCAGATGGGACCTCCGGAGGATCCAAAGCTGCAGCCCCGGGGACTCGGGCTCCAGGCAGAGAGACAGAGACAGAGGACGGCCCAGTGGTGGCCGAGTTCCCAACACCAGGAGCTGTTGGGAGAAAGCAATACGTTTGTGCAGAATCTCTATGTATATTCTATTTTATTAAATTAATTGAATCTAGTATATGCGGGATGTACGACATTTTGTGACTGCAGACACTTGTTTCCTTCCACTTGTATGTGTCTCAGAATATTTTTGAGGCGAAGGCGTCTGTCTCTTGGCTATTTTAACCTAAAATAACCGGTCTAGTTATATCCCCTCTTCTTGCAAAAAAGCACAAGCTGGGACCCAGAGTGCATTACAATCTGACGGTGGCCCACCTTCGGCAGAGAGCGAGAACCATTTTGGAAACTGTAATGTAATTTATTTTCTCTCCTTTAACCTCGTGATCATTTTCTGTAGGGGTTAAAAAAAAAAGAGAAAAAGAAAAACAGATTTTACAAATGAAATGGAGCCTTTTTATATATACATACATACATATCTATATATCTATATAAAATAAAGTAATTTTCCAAAATAAAAAGTTAATCACGGTCCAGAATAAAAAAGCAAAGGGGGACGGAGAGTTAGGTACGTCCAGATGGTCACGGTGAGGCCTGGAGGTATGGAGTGGGCGGTGGGGTGGGAAGGTTCAGGGTGCTTGCATGTGTGCGTGCGTGACAAACCAAATGCCTGGCCCTGGGGGGCTACAGCCTGGCTTCATCCCCACCTCCACCACCACGAGGGGGGCGCCCCTGCCCGGAGAGGCTGGGAATCAAAGGCTCCCGCTCCTATCAAAGCTGTATCACGTTGCCTTAGCCAGGCAGCCCAGTGAATGTAATTCCAGATTAACTCTTATTTCTGCTGACAGCGATCAGCCGCGCGTTGAAAGCTGGAAATTGGCATAATGAAGCTGTTTTGGTTAATGGGGCGATTGAGGTGGGGAGGCGGCCTCAGCTGCTGCGAGCTGGATCTGTTGTGGGGGTGTGTGCGTCTGGGTTTTCCTTCCCCCGGGTTTTGGCCTGGATTTTGGCCACGTTCTTCTTGGCGTGGTGGGTGACGGCAAGGGTCTGGGCTTCCGCCGCTGGCCTTGGGTCTCGCTTTCTGCCGGCTGTGAGATGAAGCTGTGGAAACAGTGGGTTACTGTCTCCCGGGGTGCAGGGAGCAGGCCATGTGCAGAGGAGACCCCTCGGGGGACCCTGCCAAGGTCACCATGGCCCAGCTGTGGAGTGGCGAGCGGGCCTCCACCGGTGATGGATGATGCCGTCGGGGTGCTCATGCGTCTGCTGCTGCCTGCCCCGCGGAAACCAGTGTAGGAGGGAGGGGGCCGCCATGGCTGGGAGTGCCCAGAGCCACCTTTCTGATGCCACCACGGACACTGACACCCTGGTGTCAAGAGTGACCACAGGCTCAGCCAGCTTGTTGCCCGCAGATGTGCCCCACCCCCACCCCTTGAACATCCCTTCTCGCAGGGGCCTTCAAACCCCAGGCTGGGTTCGAGTCTAGAAACCTCTACCCCATGGGTAGCCGGGGGCCCGGATGCCAGGCTGCTGGGCAGCTAGACCTGGAGGGAGGCATCTGTTGCCCAGTGATTCCTACTCCGGGGAGGGCTTTAGGCGTTGCCCTTTGCACGACAATGACAATGACGCCGCGTCCCTCGAACCAAACACCTAGTTTGATCTTCCCAGGGTGTGCGGTAATGCGAAGCCATCCCTCTGACAGCTCAGGTGGGGACAGGAGGTGTTTATGTGCTGCCTCTTTTCTTTTTTCCTTTCTTTTTCTTTCTTTCTTTTTTTTTTCCTAAGCAAAGCTGTACAAAATTCCTCGAGTTTTGCCACCTGGATCTGCAGATTAAGCTTTTACATCTTTGTAGAATTCTGTAGCTTCTGTCCCCGAGGGTGAGGGATTTGGGGAGGGACTCTGCAATCTTTTATTCTCCGGGTCGTTCGAAGATTCTGGGTCAAAATGAAACAGAACTGGGCTGCTGTCCCCTCCTGTCATTTCCCACCCCTGCCTGTGTCATTTAGGGTGACTCTAAGCGTGCCTTCTTCTCTCTGGGGTCCCCTTCCCCTGGTCCCCTTTGCCCAGTAGGACCTGAGGGAGCTTGTTGGGGTGCACTGGCCGTGTGAACTCGCTGCCTCCTCCACCCTCCCCAGAGGACCAGAGCATCTCTGGAAGGAGGCGGTGCCTGGAGGGGGCATCCAGGCAGAGATGTGGAAATATTAATAGCAGAGTTAGTGTGGCTCTTTAGGCTACTTGGAGAATCGTGGCCTCCCCAGCGCAGTCTTTATCCGTGATGGAAACTCTTGGGTCTCAGGGAAAGGTTTGAACAGTAGTGATCAATGCTAACACTACCTTCGTGACACTCGGTTATTGGAAACCGGGTGGGGGCGTCTGAAGGAGGCTTGAGTGGGGGCAGCAGTCTCGGATTGGGACTTCCCGGCCAGGCTAGGAACTGCCTGGGGGCTTCCGGGATGTGGGGGCTTGGGAGCCATGAACAACCACCCTGGCGCTTTTGCCCTCAGTCCTGTCCTTGGGGTCCAGAGGAAACTGTCAACAGCATCAGGCCCCCACCTCAGGCATGGTGGCTTCTGCTTCCTCCTCCCCCAAGCTCCAGGAAAAGGTCTATCTGGGGGTGGGGGACTGGGAAGAGGAGTGAGCTGGTGCTAAAAACAAACCTGAGGCTCATACTCAGTCTCTCACTCACTCCCCACACACCCCAGCAGGGGATGTGCTGCTGCTAGCATTTTTCTATGCAGCAGTGGGCTCTGAGAGGTTAGGGGACTTGCCCAAGGTCACACAGCCAGGAGATGGCAGAGCCGAGTTTCAACCCTAGTGCTGGACAACCTATAGTTGCTACCACACTGGTCGGGTCTTACCGCGGAGGCAATGGGGCATAACGGGAAGAAGCATGCTTACAAAATGGAAGGGCTTACGAGACAGTGGTGGGGGGACCTTTCACCAAAGTAGTCACATTCTGTTTGTGGAAATTTACACGTGCTCCCAGTGTGGCATGCCCAGGGGCATGGGGGGACCCACAGCCTCCCACCTTGTGGGATTCCAGCCTTTGATCACAGGGAGCGGAGGAGAGGAGGCTTTAGTTACGGAGAAGGTGTCCCTCAGCCCCAGGTGTCCCCCAACCTCAGCTGCATGTTGAAGAGAAGACCGAAGTTCACCCTTGCCCTTGAAACATGGCACCTGCTCCTTCCTACTTCTCCCAGCCCTTTCTCCCTTCCTGTCCTCTAACACCGCCCCACCCAGTCCCCACCCACTTTCCAAACAGCTTTCACCTCCATCTTCACCTCTAGGCCCCACCCATTCCAGCCTGGTGCCCCGTGGCCTCTTTTCTACTCTCCTGGGCCAAGCTGCTGGACCGGGTGGTGACAGCAGTGTGCTCAAGGGTGTCAGACACCAGGGGACAGCACAAGGCACCTTCACTTGGTGCCACCTATGCATCTCCAGCAAAGGGACCAAGCCAGGGAGAGGATCCCTTCTACAGGGGACACAGCGGTGCTCTGTCTAACCCCAAAAGGAGACAATAGGCTCGCAGGGCAGAACCCCAGCCGCCCAATTCCTGCCTAGGGCCCACGGACTCAGGACTGGTTCAGGACAGTGTGGTTGTGAACTGGCATCCTCCGAGGGGGCAGGGCGAGGCAGCTGCTCAGGAAATCCCAGGAGGGAGTTCTGTGTCCCTTAGCCAGTGTGGGAGCTGTGGCTGGAGTGCACGGCGCTCATTAAAGTTCACCTTGAAAACTCCAGGATGGGGTGCAGCTGCCCAGCCCCCGCCTGCCTGCCCATCAGATGGGGAGAGGGGTGCAGCGGAGGGGGACCAGGGCAGCTGCGCCTGCTGGGGTCTGGAGGACACTGACAGAAGGGTGTTCCCAGCCTCCCAAGACCATAGTGGCTCAAAGAGTGAGGTGTGACTGCTTTCCTCAGCCCGCCACACCTCTGTCCCATCAGCTCCAACCTGATTGCTGTGTGACAGCCTTGTGCCCGGGTCTCCGGGTCCCCACACTCTGCGTTTTCTCTGCCTTTGTGCCCGCTTTGAGCGTACCTTGCAGCAGTGTTATCTAGTCATCTCCTGCCAGGAAATCCCGGTGCTGGGCCCCCTCGGGAAGGCTCACGGTGGGGAGAGGCACAGCCCATCCTGCCTGGTGCTGTAGTCAGTGGGAAGGGAGCCTGGGGTGTGCATCGCTAAGGTGGGGGGACATTTGATCTGTCTCTCTGCTGGAGCCTAAGGCACAAGGGCTTCATTGCTCTCTCAGCACCCCTCCAGCGGAAACCATCTTGGTTTTAAAAAAATCAAAAGCAGAGTGGCCAGTGCCCACATAGTAGCCTTGCTGATGGTGACCTCTTCTTAGGAAACAGCGTACTCGTTTGGTTAGGTCAACAAATACTTCATATAGACCAACAGTGGTTGCAATAGAAGGAGGGGGTGTGCAGAGGAAGGGTCCCTGCCCCAGGGTTGGGGTAGGAATCTCGAGCGAGGTCTTGGAGGGTAAGTAGTTCACCGGTGCAAGTGGGAAGTGGGGTGCAGGGAGTCCCGACGTTGGCTGGGCAAGCTACAGAAGCTGAGCGTGCAGGACAGGCCAGGAGGCTGTCAGGTACTCTGCAACTCTAGGCAGCTTTACATGTCTAGAGGCCTCAGTTCCTGGCTCTGGGTGCAGGGGAGAACCAGACAATGAGCCTTGCAGGAGTGCTTCCTTTACAAAGTCTTTGTGAAGGGGCCGCATCCCATGAGTGGCAGGGAGGGGTGACACCCCGTGCTTCAAGAGGGACGGGGAAGGTCAGGGTTTCCAGAGTCCCTGCTTTCATCCTGGACTCTCCTACCCAATGCAGAGAGAGAGGAAAAGGCTTTGGCTAAAGGGGATGGTTTTATAGGCCCAATGCTGAAGCTAGAACCCAAGAGTCCTGACCCCAAACAAGAGCTCTCACCATTGCACTGGCCAGTTCTGGGGCTGGAAGATCCTCAGTGGAATCAAGCTGAGTCTGGGATCCCCATTTTAGGAAGGTCTTCTTGGGTCACTCACTCCTGAAGGGCCCCAAAGGAAAATCTTCAAGTCTTCCTAGCCCAGAGCCAGCCTTCCTGGTGTGCTTGGTGCCTATGACCCTATAATTCTAGAAGAAACAGGTGAGGAGGAGAGAGAGAAGACACTGGAGGGGAGATCAAGGTACAGACGGGGAGATAGGGTGCTGCAGAAGCCATGGAAGGAGAGTCCCAGCTGCTCAGGTTGCTGCAAAGGCCGGGACGACTGGGGCCAGAAGAGAGCTTTGGAGGCACCTTTTCCAAATTGCTCAAGCCACTAGGTCCCAAAGATATCACAGAGTTTGCTGAGGTCACACAGCTACAAAAGGCACTGCCCGAGGAATGGAGAGAGTTGGAGGCGACAGTCGTCCCTGCGCTCAGGGACATCTCAGATGGGCGGAAAGACAGACAGACTCTCTACAGCCAACTGTAACCCAAGGCACACCATGACAAGATGGGGAAGTCTTTTGTCCAGAGACGGGGATGGAGGACAGGACAGGAAGGGGCAGACTGAAAGGGCTTAGAGGACTTGCAAAAGTAGAGCTTCCCCGTCCAGCTGCGGGGAGAGAGGACTCTCATTCTCACACCCACCCCACTCGAGTCCACCGATCTCCACTGTACCAGCCCGCAGCCTGAGACAGCCCTCCTAGAGACTTCCTGCCTGCCAGAGGGACAGGAGGCTCTGGCCACCTCTGCTCTATCCTGCTGGCCCCTCTCATGCCTGTCCCTGAACAGCTGAGGAAGAGAACACCTTGTCCCCTGTGGAGAGAGGAAGGACCAGGACAGGCAGACCCAGCATGACTGGATCCAGTGTGCAAGAAGGGCGAGATGGACCCCAGAGAGATTCACCCTGGAAAGTCCCTCTCAACTCCAAGCAGGGGCATGGGTGGCTTCGGGGACCCCATCAGAGAAGAATGGGATGGCGGAGAGAGACGGCTGTCCCCGCACAGCAAGCCCACTCTACAGATGGAGAGCACTGAGTCTCAGCAGTAGGAAGCGGGTGTCAGTGGGCACCTAAGTGTGCCGGGATCTCTGCCTTACTACCTGTCTCCTTGAGAGCCCAAGGAGAAAGACTCTGCTACATTGTCCATATTTTACAGATGCAAAAGAGAGGCACTGGGCCAGACTGGGGAGCCCCGGAGCTCCAGAAAGCAGGAGATCGTGAGGACCAGGGGAGGCCACCCGCACTCTCCCAGGTGCGCACATGCACGCACCAGAGCACAATGTGTAGGTGCTGGCAGCCGGTTCTGGATCGTCTGAGCCCACAAGCTCCTCCTATTTTACAAACGAAGGAAGTAAGGCCCAGAGATGAATGTGAACTTAAGAATTTTATGTTTTTACAGAGGGAGGATTACTAAATCCCTTGCCCTGCCTCCCTCACTCATCAGCCCCAGAGTTCAGAGTCTGAGCTCAGCACCCTCCAAGCCCCCCGCATCAGAAACATTCTGAGCCGAGGTTACCGGCCTCAGGATCGAGAGGGGCCTCTCTCCCTCCCAGCTCAGGGGCCACTGGAAGAGGCCGCCACTGTGGAGGATCCCAGGCCCCGGACCCAAAGACCTTCGGTGTGGGAGGCACTGTTGAACCTGGCAGAGCGCCCAGAGGCAGGGCTCGAGGGACTGGCAGGGGCGGGGCATGGGTCACAGGCTTCCTGCATCAGCCCTGCTTGCAGCTGGCCCGGCTGTCACCACTCCTTCCTCGCCAGCGCTGCCCCTTGGCCCCATGGACTCCCTGTGTGGCTCCAAGTTCTGGGTAAGGCTTGGGGCTCGGGGGGCTGCTGTGGTGGGAGTAGGGACATCTAGGGCCACCTGGTCCTCCTGCCCTGCCTTCCCGCTGGGGCAGCTGAGATCCTGGGACAGAGAGCACATTTGGCCAGCTCTTCCATAGCCTGGGTGCATGGAGTGGGTGTTGAGACCCCCTTCTGGCCACATTGGCCCAAGCCAGGTCCCCTGGGGCATCGTGCTGTCTGGACTTGCTCCCTCTGGCCTCTCCTGGCTGCATGGAGGAGCTCAGAGTGCGTGCTACGCCTGGCATCCTGGGAATGCAAAGGTACCCCCCTCACCGTTAGCTCCAGCCCCTCTGGGGGTCACCCAGCATGCGGATGGAGTATTTTGCCACTGTGGGGGTATTTCCCGGTGGACCCACTAGCACGTGACCCACCAACTGAGGCTCAACTGCCTACCCTGCACCCCTACCCTGGGACCCCCAGGGCATCCAGGGCCCCTGTCAAGCAGCTAGTCTGAGGCAGGTCCCTCAGCAGGGACCCATTCTTCTGCAGGCCCCAGCCCCCTGCCCCAGGATGTAACCAGTGTATAACAGCCTGAGACTTCTCCTCCCAGCAGAGGCAAGTAGCAAGGTGCTCTCTTTCAGAGACAGCCTTTCCCTGACTGTCCAGGGGATGCCCAGCATGTGCTACTCTCAAATCCAGACTTATACTCCTTTTTCTATGTCTTTTCCCCATTTTGAATATTTATACTCACATAACTTCTGTGTGTGTGTGTGTGTGTGTGTGTGTGTGTGCATGCGTGTGTGTCTATGCAGGGATGGATAGGGTGTTATCCATAGGTGTGTGTTGTACACCTGTGTGTGCCTAGGCATATGTGTGAGTTTAAGTCATGAGCCATACCCTGGGCTGTCACTTAAGGTCTCTTGGGCTGGTGTTTGTGATTTGGGATAGGCTGAAGCCATTACTTGAATTTGTTGAAACTCGAAGCAGTGGAATACCTGTTTGTTTGTTTGTTTGTTGTACTGGGGATTGAACTCAGGACCTTGTGCTTTGGAGTCAGGCGCAGCGCCATGGAGCTAAATCCTCAGCCCAGTGGAATGCCTGAAAAAGACTCTTTGGGGATATCTCTTTCTCCGTACCACTGAAGGGTTAATCGGGCATGACCCTCTGACTCAGCCCCACAGAAGCCCCGTCTGTCTTCCATCCTGGACCCAACACCTGTCACCAAGATCCAGAGGCTATGCCTTCTGCTTGTCAGTGTACTTCCTCTGCCTGGTCGGCCGCACCTCACTGGTGTTGCCATGCCGTTGCCTTGGTGGTGGAGGTGACCAGGCAGAAGACTTGAAAATCAAAAGGGCAGTTGTTCCCAAGCCTCAGGGTGCAAAGCCCTCTTGTTGCTGGGTAAGCATGAAACTCTGAATGCTTCGAAGTCCAGGGAACCTGGACCTAAAAAACAGATATCCCAACCTGTGCCAAGTTCAGAGAACTTTAGGGTTACCCTTCCATGCAGTGGATCGGGGAGGCCACCAGTGTCAAAATAGTCACTCCTCTCTCCTTGTGGAGGCTAGGAAGGAAAGGTCACAGGACTGCATTACTGCACCAAAGTCCAGTGGGCTCTGGACCAGACGGCAAGGACCCCTCAGACATGGGCCGAACATCTGGAGTCCTGGCCCTGTGCTGCCCACGAGTTGTAAGTGCCTCCTCTAAGGACCCAGCCAGGGGACTGAGCTTGTCTACATTAAGGCTCCCTCAAAGGGTCTCAGCTCAGGTATGTTCAGTGTCAAGAGACTGGCTACTCCCCTGCTCCCCCCGCATCTTGAAACAGCCTCTCTTCTAGGTGGCCTCCTTGACTCCTGAAAACCATTCCCAGCTGTACCCAGTGTGGCTTAGTGACCAGAGTGTGGTACCTAGAAAGCAGGAAGGCTCTTCACAGGGTTTCCAGAGCTGGGAGGAGGAGGGTTTCCAAGGGAGGGTCTTGGGAGGGTGGAGTCTAAGCTATTGCTCAATTTCTGGGAGTGCCTAGGGATACTCTGGGCTGCTTTGCATCTCATTTGCACTGCGCAGGGTCTAGGTATACTAACTGCTACAGCTCCCCGTGGGGACCCAGACTGTGGGAAGTGGTACAGGGCAGCCCGAAAGTCCCCGAATCAGGACAGGGAAAGCGGAAGGGTGGGGTCTTCAGACCCCTCTGGGTTACATGTTTACCAAGTTTTCCCCAGTTTATCCTCAGAGCTTCCCTTTCCTCCTCATCTGTGAAATGGGGAAATAACCCACTTTCTGCTCACCTTCCAAGACTTCCATGCGGAGTGGACATGAAATTCCAGAACCTGGCAGGTAGAGGCAGGAGGGCTGCCACAAGTTCAAGGCCAACCTGGACTACAGAGCCAAACCCTGTCTCAAACAAATAAACAGAGTGTTTCACGGGGATCAAATGACACAGAATATGTGGAATGATTTTCAAACCAAGAAGCCCTGTGTAATTGGCAGGTGCTGGTATTCCTGAGAATAGGAGCAGTGCGGTTAAATCAGAGGTCCTATGCTAACTAGGGGTGGCAGGGCTGTTTCTTGGGAATCTGGGGCTGGCTCTGGTAAATCACCTTTAGACTTGGTCACACACACACACACACACACACAAACACACACACACACAAAACTTTCAGCTTTGGCCCCAGCCCACTGTAAGGATGGGAGGCTAGGGGACATCTCTTGGACACATGCACACACCATGTGCTGGACATATTATTTCTCTCTCTCTCCATGTTACTGACATTCCTGATGGCACCTTGGGAGTTTGTGCAGAAATAAATTCCCAAGGAGAAAATGGTGTGACTACTTGGGAGGCCAAAGAGGCCCTGGGGACAAAGGAGGCTGGGTGTACATTTACTCTGGCCTGCTGCCCCTGCTTCAAGCATTACTCTGTTTTGAGCAGTACAGGCTGCACGGCACCCGGGGTTAAACGAGTACATGGTGGAGGGACCTGGGTTGCTTCGTCCAGGAGATAGTGGCCTGTTTCACAGTTAGCCTTATCTGATGCCCGAATCCGAGCCCCGGGAAGTTCAGAAATCCAGTGATCCTGACCAGGAGGACCCTGTCTGAGGGTGACACCAGGTGTATGCACACCGGGTATGGGCGGTGAGCACTTGATGGGATGTTGGTGAGATCCTGTCCAGAGACTGTTTGACCCACTGGGAAGATGAAAGATATGGACTCACTGGTTCCTCCGAGATTTCCAGACTCCTTTTTCCCTGGCTTTCTCTGTGCTCCAGATGTTAGGTACTTAGCTGCAGCTCTCTATCTAGGCACATGGGGCCCCCGTTGTTCAGGCCCAGGCCCTCTCTTCTGCGCATGTCCTGGTCCTTTGCCAAGCTGTGGTCCCCTGAAGGCCCAGTTCCATGTTCCTCCTGTGTTCTATTTATTTATTTAGTTTTGGTACTGGGGATCGAACTCAGGACCTTCAGCTCCCAAGGCAGGCAGCAGAACCACTGAGCTAAATCCCCAGCCCTCACCTGTGTTCTAACCAGCCCCAAATTCAGTCCCCCATGAGCTGTGTGAGTCACTCACCCTCTCCAGGCTGGAGCAGGGTTTAGGGGAGCTCTGGAGCCCCCTTCAAGTCTAGAGTTGCCCAATCTTGCATTCAGGGGCCAAGGCCTTGATTCAGGGTCCCAGAATATGGGAGTCTCTCAAGCTTCCTCTTGGGCCACGTTGCCCAGCAGGAGAGCAAGCAGCCACGAGAGTGTCAGCAAAACTCCGGCGAAGCCGGAAGTTGCAGATGGGTGTGAGGTTGGCACCCCTTAGCTTACTGGGCCCGAGTTCATCCTCTCCTCCCAGGAACCCTGCCAGGCCAGGGCCCAGTGTGCTCCCCTCCCTCCATTCCAACTGGGTTCTTGAGCCCAGTGCTGCACCACTATGACCTCCAAGCTCTCGACTTTTAGCAAGATTTGTTCCCTTGTGACGCCAGACTGGCTTCTCGAATCCTTTAGGCCTGGGTTAAGGGCTAAGACTTAGGACAGGAAGTGAGCCAGGGAGGTGGCCTTGGGAAGGGAGCTTTGCCAAACCTGCCTGCTGGCACCAGAACCAACCGTGGACTTTGGATTACCTGATCTCTAGGAAAGTGGCCGGTCCCCAGCAGGAGCTACGGCCGACCCACTCAGGAGGCAGGGACAGAGGGCCTGGGCTGGGCAGCCCCCTGCTCCGCTAACATACACACAACATGGGGCTGCCCCGGGCCTGATCCCTGGGAGTGACGGGCAGGACCAGACTTGAGTGCGCCCTTGCAAGGGTGGCTGGCCTGTCTCCTCCCCACCTGGAGCTGTTGTGTTTGAGGCTGGGTCCTGGGGACAGTAGGAAAGCACGGCAGAGGCCGTGGGAAAGCAGGCTAAAGCCTGGATTTAATTTCTCCTCCTGACTGGATATTCAGGTTTCTGGTCCAGTGGATCCCTGAGCCCAGCTGGTCCCCTCCCTGGTGCGGGCAGCCCCTTCCCTGCTCTCCCAAGGGGAATGATCTTCCTCGACCTGAAGAAAGGTGGGCCAGGCTGGGCTGCACAGATACAAGAAGATCTAATGTTTTAGCTGACTAAGACAAGGGAGTAGCAGGAAGTTCCGCATAACTAATTGGGGGCTGGAGCTCTTCTCTGCTGCCTGAGTTCGAATCCTGCATCAGCCAGAGTTTCAGACGTTACAGACAGGACGTGATGCACTTGGCACTGTGTGGTGCTCCATTAACCACGACTGATGGGCTCTGGCTCTTCCAAAGACTTCCTCTTCTGACCCAGGCAGGTCAGCAAGGGCAAGGGTGGTCAGAGTGTGCCTTCTCCCTCCTGCGCCTGCATTTCTGTTGAGAGGAACAATCTTGTCAGTTGGTTCCTTCCAGGTGACTACTTGTGTCCTTGGGAGCTGCAGAGTATTGGTGGCCCCCTTCCCTGCCACACAGGATTAAGGAAGTAATGACTGGTCTCGTGACAGGCGGTCACAGGCTGGGCCCAGGGGTTGAGAAGTCCCTGGCAGAGCTGGGGCCAAAGGGCAAGGG